TGACACTTCGAAATGGGACATCACTTCAATGTGTGTGCCCGCGCGTTAACAACACATCAAAGCGTTTCGCATATAAAATTGTTGTTCGTGTGGCAACACATGTCCGCAGCAATGTTCATTGCTTTGTAGGCGATGTCCTTGGCGCTGAGATTCTCGACATCGTAGAGTGCCCTGGCTGCTGCTATGGCATATGGGCCCCCCGACCCTGTGCCCAGGACATTTCCAGATGGTTCCAAAACGTCTCCGTTGCCAGTTACCTCCAACAGCACGTCTTTGTCCGCCACTATAAGGACTGCCTCCAGGTGTCGCAGGTACCTGTCGGTTCTCCACAGCTTGGCTAGTTCGACGCAGCTTCGGAGAAGCTGATCTGCACGTAGTGAGGGGGGGAAAAAATGGGGGGAAGGTGAACTGTGAGCAGCCCATGTGTAATCGTGCTTAGACAATGAGCTTCGGAAATGAGCTTCGGAAATGAGCTTCGGAAATGCGCTTCGGAAATGCGCTTCGGAAATGCGCTTTTACAACACACTTCGTCACCGCACACGCGCAGTGATCCGCGTTAAGGGGGAGGCCTCACTTGGGTATTCGTCGATTTTCGTTTCGAACTTGTCCATCAGGGTGAAGCAGTCCGCCGTGGCCCCGGCGAATCCCATCAGAATGTTGTCCTTCAGCCTTCTTATTTTCTTTGCGTTCCCTTTGACGATCTGGCGAAGAAATGAAAGTGCAAAACGGTGAAGGCGTAAGAAGGAAAGTGAAAAGAAAAAGGCACAATCAGGTAAATAGGCATGCCAGTGATCCTATTGATACGCGAGAACATGATGGGCACCAAAACGACAAGGTTACAACTCGCAAAATGAGCGTCCCCTCCATTTTTCACTTAACACAGAGGGAAATGGGGGTAAAATGTCCACGCCTACCATTGTTCCTTGAGAGACCATTCCATCTCCAATTAGACACTGAAGAGGGGGGGGGAAAGGTTAACGTGTCTGTGTGTTGTAACGCCTTAACTTTTTTTTTTTTTTTTTCCCTCCTTTGTAGCTCTTGCGGGGACAAGTAACGAGGGGGTTCACTCATTCTTTTTGGTGGCAATGCCAAAGGGTTATTTTCCACACTGCTAGGTTGTCAACCCCCGTCACGACTTTGCCTTCTCTTCCACTTCTAGGCTCACTTACCACTTCGTTGTTCTTGCGCACGCACAGTATGGTCGTGCCATGTCGCGGCGGGAGCAGCCTTGCCGTGGGGGCGAAGTAGTTTCTCTGCAAGGGGGGGAGAGAAGCCAAGATGTGTGGAGAGGCACATGGGGAGATCCCCAGATCGGGTGATATACCCCCCGTGGTAATGCCAGCGGGACGATCCGAGATGGGAACACTCGCAGAGATGTTCTGTGCATTCCCACCTGTGTCGCTCGGCCGATCGCCGGGGGAACCCTAATCAAGCCTGAGAGGTGCCTTACAAACATGTTTTTTCGCCTGGCTTTGCTCAGATTCACAAGAGGGGGAAAAACCCGTGGGTGGCGCTGAAATTGGCCTAGGGGAGGAGAACCTGGTGATAGGCTCCTCAGTATCTCCCTTAAAAAAAAAAAAATTAACAAAACTCGAATGGGAGCAGCAATGGTTTGTTTTTTTTACAGTCTCTACATGTGCGAGTAGGAAAGAGATATACACAAAAGCTATTTTGCATGCGCAGGATGGAGAAAATCAAATCTGCCCTTGCACAGGTGGGGATTGACGAAGCTACGAATGAACAATCCATGCGCAGAAAAACAAAAAAAAAAAGTGGAGCAGTTAAGGAGCTAGCTGAGTGGTATAATGGGATGGCGGAGTGGAGTCGCAACGGCGTGCGGCAGGGACTACTGTGCGCTTTGCTGAAGCGCGTTCGAAAAAATAAAATAAAAATGAAGTAAAAATAAAAAATAAAGCAAAAAAAATAAAGTAAAAATAAAGTGAAAAAAAAGTGAAAAAAAAGGAGGGCCCCACATGTCCGTGTCGGCTGAATTGCGCGCGCAGTGATTTACAAAGAGGGGGATCGCAAAGGTTCGATTTTTCTTCTTAGGGGTGAGGGGAACCATGCTGGGTATCCGCTCGTTGAAGTTGCTGCTTACTCTTTTCTATGCGTAAGGGGTGGTAGGTTTGGCCGTGGGGCTGTATCCCCGTTGTGCGCTCACCTCAGAATGGGGAGTCCCCCCGTTCCCAGTTGGAGTGTCCCACTTAGGAATACTTCTTTTTCGATTATGTTTTCCTCCCCCGTTAAACACTCCCCAGGGGTGTCTATGTATGTAGGTTTATGTGTATGTGTCCGGTGGGGGGTCCAAATATGTGTAGGTCCTAAAATTATGCCCTCTAGTGCGGCCATTCTGAAATTTCCCCATTTTGAGAATTCCTCCTCGAAAGGGTTAGACGGGCCAAACGGGTCAATCTTCCAGCCCGTCGAAGATGGCTCCCATTTGAAGTAGCAAACTTTCATCTCGGTCTGAGAGGTAACCACTGTAACTGCCACCCGCAAAGGCATCAGGAGCGACGTGGTCAAAATAGTCCACGTTATGCACCTTGACATCATCTTCACATTCGAGGAGCAGGTGAGGGAACTCCATAAAGTAGCACGAACCATACATGGAGTGCTTACCAACAGGTGGAACAAAAAAGTCAATTATGTTTTCTCCATATTTCAGTGTCTTCACAGCGTAGCAGTGGAAGAGGTCCCATATCTTTATTCCATCCCTCGCTAGGGACACCATGTTTTCCCTTTTGTTATTTACGTGGCATTTGATTACTTGGCTTCTGTGTCCAACGAAGGTCGTGCATTTTTGGAGGTTCACTTGGGAGTGGCATTTTTGGAAATTCACCTTTGAGTGGCATTTTCGGGAACTACTTCCCTGCAGCTGAGCTTCATTGTGCTCCCCATTTCTCACCTCAACCTCAACGTAGTCGCCATAGGCGGCTAGTTTTTCCTCCGCGCGTCGTTCTTCAGGGTAGACACCCTGACTCACTTGAGGAGAAGAATCTGCCTCCCTTTGGTCAAACTGGGAGAAGGGAATTCGAAATATTTTGTTCCCTCTGCACAGATACAAATGCGTGTTGAAGGGGTCATTCGTGCAAATGTATGTGCAGTTCTCCGAGCTCGTCTTCAAAATGTGAGTTGGTTCCTTGGTCTTCAATCCCCACACATGTAGCGTCCCATTGCTAGTAAGTGTCACTAAGGAGTAGTACGAGCCGTACACATTTGGCGTCACTGAAAGAATCTGAGTTATTGTTGCATTTATGCTGTGCTGATAGCGTAGAAATGGAGTTATATTTTTTTTTTTTCTGAACAGGTCAGGTAAATTGTACACATGAACGATATTGTCATCACTGTAGGTGTAGAGGACGTTGGCTATCTGGTCAATTATGATATCCTTAATGATGCCGTAATGCGCTTGGAAGGAAGTGATTAATAATCCTGAGAGGGAGGACCAGACGTACACGTTCCCAAGTTTGTCTCCCCCGATAATTACCTTTTCATTGTTCGTGAGCCTGATAACATTCAACTGTACGCGCATGTGCTTAGTCGAAATGGGGGCACTCTTCGTGCAGACATATTTGGAGACCACTTTTTTATTCACGCTGAGCAGGAGGAAGCTCCCATTTCTGAGCTGGCAGATCTTCTTCTCCGCGTCCTTCACGGGGGCCTCGAATTTGTTTTCGCATCGCTCGTTCTCCGCGTTCAGCAGCACGATGTCGTGATTTTCGTACAGAGCGAGGATTTTCACCTGCTCCATTGGGCCGCTTGGTGGGGGTTACACCTCTCCGGGTGGCTGTCGCGAATTGGCGCCTTTTGCCTGGGCCTACCACGTAAGTTGCATAAAATGTGGAAAATGACGCGCCGAACAAAGTTGCCTTCACCTTTTCTGCGCCACGCGCGACGGAGGTTGTTGGTGAATCAACCATGAACCCTGAACTTCCTTCCATTAACCAAGTCGCTGATTACCATAGGGAACGGGAAGAAAAGCGCATCACAAAATGGGGAGCATCATTAGGGTAAATAATACTTATGCATACATATTCCTTCGTATAAGCGCTTGTGATGATCCTACGCAGGCGCGGAGCCCGTTCTGATGTGACATTTATTTTCTTTCCAAGGGGCATTATATCTATCGTGACTGGTAGGTTGGAGTTTTATTTTTATCCCCCGCGGATTTGTTCTTCCTCGAGATGTATGTCCCCTTGCCGATCAATTCGGGGAACAAAAAAATAGGGCAAATAAAAAAAAAAAAAAAGGGGCTATTTTTTTTTTTTTTCCTTTTTCGTCATGAGAAAAATCCCGTTGTTGGGTTAGTTCCTCTTGTGGGTTCTTTAGCTGGATAAAAGGACACAACGTCGTTCATTTTTAAGTTCACCTTTGTGAACGTATGTTTATTTTTTTTTTTTTGTTCTCCCTTTTTTCGAGCAAACCACTGTGCCGCGAAGTAATGTGCAGTCCGCACCGAGCGCGAGGTGTGCCGCAGAAGGAGCCGCTGAAGGAGCCGCTGAAGCAGCCGCCCATTTGTTCCCTCCATTTTTGGAGAACACCAGAAATGGTATTATTATGCGCCGTTTCACCTGCCCAATTGAGCATCGCACCAGGGAGGTCTCCATTTGTTTACTCTCCCCTTGAGGTAGCATTGAGGCAGCATGCGGGAAAAGAGTAGTTCTATGTCCACTCGAATGGGACAGCCACTTTGAGCAGAAAAAGAAAAGAAAAAAAAAAAAATGAACAAATGATTGAAACACTGCGTATGTACGTATGTAGCGTTGCAACCGTTTTACATAGCGCCACGTACCTTTGTAGACACATGCACAGCTGGACACAACGCGCGTAGTGCTTTCCTCAAAAAGGAAGGAGTAGCCTTTTTTTAACCTCTGCAAAACTTGGGGCGTCACATTAGCTCAGCTGGCATGCCACGTTTACTGAACCGTTTGCACCTGTTTTTTTTTTTTTTGCGAGCATGTGCACACGCCGAAGCGGGCCCACTCTTCCCCCCCACCACCATCCTTCTTCTCCTCCTCCTAACTTTGAAAAACATAAGAATAATAATGAACAGCCTCAGACTGCGGCATATCGAAAATGCGCTAAACAGCTTCAACTTCCTGTCCCCCCTGGACATCTACATGCGCCTGTACTTCAAGGGGAACAACATAAAGAGCAAGGACAAGCCGTTCATCTCGGAGCATGTCTACAACATAATGCGGAATAAGACGCTCCTTTCATATCTGTCCGCCCCCTCTCCGCTCTACACCAACGTGGTTAAGACGTACTTTTCCTCGGACAAGTTGGTTTGCTCTCATCGGCGATTAGCGGTGCTCAGCGGCGATTATGCGGCGTGCCATCCGCATTGAAATAGTACTAATGCACTGATGCGTCGATGCACCAATGCACCGCTCCCCACTTGAGAGTGCATGCAACTCCACATGCTTCTTCCATTAACCCCCCCCAGATGGAAGTACGAAATGAACAACAAGAATATTCCTGCACACGTGCGGTACTCATTCCCGAAGGAGCTCTACGAGCAGTTGGTGAACTGTTACGGAGAAAAGAAAAGCCACACGCTTATGTCCATCCTCAACGAAAAGGCACCAGTCTTCCTACGAGTCAACACAAATAAAATCTCACGAAACGATCTCTACAAACTTCTAATGAGCAAAGGAGTGTCTGTCGAAAAATGCGTAAACTCTCCACAAGGATTGTTACTAACAAAAAGCTATGTTCTAAAAAATAATTACGAATATAAAAAGGGTTATTTCGAAATGCAGGATGAAGCTAGCCAAATAGTTAGCTCGAAGATACCTGTCCAGCCAGGATACAAGGTACTCGATTTCTGTGCAGGGTCAGGGGGAAAAACATTGGCTTTTTCACCAAAAATGGATAACACAGGAAAGATATACCTTCATGATATACGAGATAAAATGCTATCACAAGCGAAAATTCGACTCAGGAGAGCAGGTATTCAGAATTATATCCTTCTCAATAGCAATCACATTTTGCTGAAGAAGTTATTTGGATATATGGACACGGTCATCGTGGATGTCCCCTGCACCGGAACAGGTGCCTTAAGGAGGAACCCAGAAATGAAACACAAGTATACCAACAACAAGCTCTACGATTATGTGAATCTACAGAGACAGATCTTCCAGCAGGCTCTACTTTATGTGAAGAAGAATGGAAAGATTGTTTACATCACATGTAGCATTCTGGATGCAGAGAATGTTCACCAGGCAAAGTATTTTTGTGAGAAGCACAACTTATTTTTATCCGAGCCTCCATTCCATTCTTTGCCGCAGTCCAAGTCTATGGATGGTTTTTTCTTGGCTATATTTGAGCGGCGGGACTGACCCCGTCGAGGTGGACCCTCCGCGGAGCCATCCCCTGGGGGAGATACACACGAGATATGCAGGAGATACGCAGGAGATACATATGAGATACACATACAACTGGGGGTCAGTACAACTGCCCATCCGTACAACTTCGGATGCCCCCCTCACGTGCACTTCTCCCCTTGGGGAAGTTTTCCCTCGAACGAATTTCGGTCTGCCACTTGTGTCATTCCCCACGATCGAAGCGTATGCCTCATGGCTTGCCACATTTTTCTTTAACATTAGGAGGGAACACTTCTCCTTCTCTTCTGTTTATGTAGCAGCAAACCTCTTTTTTGTCCTCCCCCCTTGGGATTATAAAAACTACCTAAAACGATCACACTCGCTTACAACTAGTACGTATGATTATTATAATGCTTCTCTCCCCATTTGGGTGAGTCGTTAAACGCCTGTTCAGGCGAGTGCACTTTAAAATAAAAAAAAAATTCTACCCTTTGAAAACGCGGGGCGGGGAAGAGAAACGAAAAACCCCTTCGCGCAGTGCGCAACGTAGTATACTATACCCACCCGCACGTATGCAGATTTATGTGCTAACATAGATGAACATATTTGAACATGTATAATGTGGCTTACCCACACGACGCTGCCCCCTCGTTTGCCACTTTTTTTTCTTTTTTTTTTCCGCTGCTTATCCACCGCTCAAACAAATCGCGCGCGCCACTGCGACAGTTTCGAGTGATACAATTTCAGGCGATACAGTTCCCGCCGAGGCAATTCCTTGCGAGTGAAAGAAGGTCAGCCCCTATTGACGCCCTTGCCACTGGTATGTCTTCACCTGCTCGTGCGTGACCATATATCAGCGCAGAAACGTATTCGTGTATTGTTCCTCTGCCCAGCCACTCACTGATTGGAAGATTGGGTGCCAAGAGGGTACAACACTTAAGCTGCACGCATGTATTTGCATGTCCCGCTTATCATTTTTCTTTTTGCATTCGTCCGTTGGCGCATCGGGTTTGAGGCCGCAGGCCGAGTAAGCAAGCAGCATAATTGAGACCCATAATAAAGCAGCCAAGTAGGCCGCGAAGCCAACCAGATAAACGTCCAAGTAGCCAACCAGCTAAACTTCCAACCAGATAAGCCGCTACCCCCCCCCCCCCTGGCAAGATGAACGAACTGGTGGTCTTCGACTCGAACCACCAGAAGCCCATCAACGACTGCGAGCTGGACTACTACAGCAAGAAATTGGCGACCTGCTCCAGCGACAATACGGTCAAAATTTTCGATGTGAGCCTTTCAAAGGAGCCCGTGTGCGTAGCTGAGATGCGGGACCACAGCTCAGCTGTGTGGAAGGTATGTTGGTCACACCCCAAGTATGGCAGTCTCCTAGCTAGCTGCTCCTACGACAAAAGTGTAATCATATATAAGGAAGTACAAATGAATAAATATGAAATCATTTATGTGAACAATGAACACAACAGTAGCGTCAACTATATAGAGTGGTCTCCACATGAGTATGGGCTGCACCTGGGTTGTGCCTGCTCCGATGGGCATATTAGTATCATATCGTACGATTTAGCGAAAGGATCAAATGGGGAAGGGCAGTGGAACAAGTATAGCGTGAAAGCGCACCTGAATGGAACGGCCTGCATAAACTGGGAGAAGACGAATAAGAATAAACATATGAATGAAGGGAGCAATGGAGCACCTGGAGTAGGAACAGCAGCACCATCGGCAGGAAGCGGAGGGGGAGATCATCCAAATGCATTCCAACTAGCGTCAGGAGGCTTTGACAATCAAGTGATCATATGGATTTTTGATAACAGCACGAAAGAATTTCACAAGGTTTATCAAATGAAGGACAATCCACATAACTCTGCAATTAAAGACATCGCATGGAGACCTAACCTGAACAATTGCACAAACATAATCGCCTCCTGCTCAGATGAAAACGATGTAATCCTGTGGATAGAAGACATAAGTAACAACCAGTGGAGGAACGGACAAGTCATTAAGGTAAAGGACAGAATTAGTAAATTGTGCTGGTCACCAAATGGGACCATCCTAGCCATTGCATGTACAAATGAAAATGCCTACCTGTACAGAGAAGGGTTAGACGGCGTGTGGGAAGAGGTATGCAATTTGGCGGACAATGAGAAGCTGCATGCACAGATGGAGGCACAAGAAAATATTACCGATCAAGTAGGGGGGACTAGTCTCGGCGGAGCAGTTATGGCAGCCACACCCCCCATGGGGAATGTACCAACAAACCAGGTGGACCCTTACACCGGATCGTACAGTAAGAACCCTGGTAGTCAAAACGAACCACCTAATGCCTTAAACTCTGTCACGGGTCAGACAAACTATGGTAATAAACTCTTCCCCAATAGTATCGGGATCAACCCTGCCGGAGCTCCAAACAGCAGCGTAAGCACCCCAGGGATGGTTGCAGCTGGACTAAACGCTCCACAAACGAGTAATAGTAACAATCCGTATGGTCAGACGGTCACTCCTCCCATGACTCCAGGGATGATGCCACCTCCCTTAAAGAATAACACAACCATGAGTCAACAAAATGTGACTCCAAATTATTTAATTCCTCCACATAAGAAAACCAGCGCTTCAAATGTCACATCCAATGTTGCAACTTACCCTATGGGTGGTCCTCCTGTGGGTGCCGCAGGACTTCCGCCTCCTCCTCCACCCCCTCCCGTTGCACAAGATCAGGGCAATCCCCCCTCTGGTGGACTGAATTATTCCTCTCCACAAATTCCCACACAGCAAGGAGGCGTCTCTCCGCCACAGTTTGGTGCAATTCCCCCCCCTGGAAGTATACCCCCTCCTGCCAGTATAGCAGCTGTGGTACCCATGGGTAATAAGCCGAGCATCCCCGGACCGCCTCCCCCACCTGGCGGACCACCACAGCAGGCGCAGCAGCCGCAGCCGTACCAGCCGCATCAGCAACAACCACTTCAACCGCCATTTCCCGGCGGCAGCCCCGGCACCATGAATTTTGCCAAGCCCAGCAGCCCAATGCCGCCCGCCCAATTTCAAGGTGGAAATGCGAACAAGACAAATTTCAGCGCACAACCGATTTCGCCTCCTCCTCCACCCCCTCCCCCATTTGGGTCGACGCCTCCCCAACAAGGACATCCTGTCGCCAAAGGAATGAACAAAACAAACACATTCTCAAATTTTAACCCAAATGTGATGACTCCACCGAACGCCCCCCCACCAATGGGCACGACTCCCCCAGGCCCGCCCCAAAAAAATGTGGGCCCCCCAGGAAGTAGCTACCCCCCGATGAATTACTCCTATCCCCCCCCACCTCCTTCCAACATGATGGGCGGTGACCCCGGTGCCAACCCAGCCCCAAATGCACAGTACGGCGCGTACCCGAGTTATAACCCGCCCCCCCAGTGAGGTGCGAACGGATGAAAAAGGGGGAAATGAAAAAATGTGCAAAGCTGCGAATGGGGAAATGGGAAAGCGTCATGAGTGAGGTAACCCCGCGAAAGTTGGTCAATGGGACAGAAAAGGACAGATGAGGGGGGCCCCTAGATGCAGGAAATGGCGCCCCACAAGAAGTAGCACTAAAGCAGTACAGCAATACAGCGCAATAGCACAGTAGCAGCGCGTGTGAACGCGGCGTGCCTTTCGCGTCACTCCATTTGACCGCACTTGGCAACTCGCCAGTCGTCAGTCTGTGGGGGACGTTGGCAGTGGACAAGGTGCCTCAGAAATGCGCGCTTGTGTATCTGCGAAAGTGGCGAATCGACCACCATCTCCATTTGTACCCCCTGCTTACATTTTACGTCTCCTTTTTTCTTTAATTTATGCAGATTTTTATAGCGCACATTTTTCTTCTGCTTTTTAC